TGATACCTTTCTCCGTAAACATCCTAACGCCCTTCTTCTTATTACCGGAGATTTCAACCCTTCAAGCACTGGCTTTGACGGAAAAATGGTTAAAAGAGTCACCGGGCTAACCCAAATAATCAATGTTAAGACAAGAGGCGATGCTATACTAGATTGGTGCCTAACGAATGTTAAGAAATCCTTCTTCGATCAGCATCAACTCCCTCAAATTGGAACTAGTGACCATAATACTATTATTATCAAGACTTGTCTCCCTAGACCACAGAAGCCAGATAACAGCCCTATTTCGAAAAGAGACCTTAGATATAGTAATTTACAAAGATTTGGCCAGTGGATTACATCGTATGACTGGTCACCTGTCTTCCATGTCCACGACTGTGAACAGAAATACCAACTATTTTATGATACTATAACCAATATGTTGGAATTGTTCCTTCCTATTTTACGTACAAAAGTAAGACAATCTGATAAACCATGGATGACTTCTTCACTTAAAAGTTCAATACGTAACCGCCAAAAAGCACTTTATAATGCCGGTAAATCTTCGACAATGTTTAAGTACTGGCGTAATAAAGTTATTATGGACGTCAAGTCTGCTCGAACCAAATATTATGCCTCATCAGTCAATAAATTAAAACAAGGCAGTTCATCGAAATGGTGGAAAGAAGTTAAGTCTATTGGTGGACTTTCCTCCCGAGACTCGTGGCACCATCAACTGATGTCCCCTGATAACCCCACCAGTCAACACCTCGTTGAATCAATAAACAAGTTTTTTACTAGCTTGACCTCGCATTTCACCCCCCTTGAGCCAGTTACGGCGACCCAATTGGATGTCCCTACCTCCTTTCTAGTAGATACGTATCAAGTTTATCAAGCTCTACGTAAGATCAACACCAACAAATCTCCTGGCCCGGACTTAATCCCCAACAAAATCCTTAAAATATTTGCCTTTGAGCTCTCTCCTGTAATTGCTGATGTGTATAATTCATCCCTCACGCAGGGCGTGTTTCCCTCCGTGCTAAAGTTGTCTATTGTCCGTCCGATCCCTAAAGAACTTCCTCCTACATCAATTGACAATGATTTGAGACCAATCTCCTTGACTTCGCAGATTTCAAAAATTATGGAAAGATTTACATTCCACTCGTTGATGTCTCAAGTAATAGACCAACTTGACCGTAAGCAATTCGCACTGCCGAAGAAATCAACTACCCATGCCCTGGTGTACCTTCTTCATCAAATTTATGCTGCCTTGGACAGTGGTCATAACTCCATCAGATTGTTTTTCGCTGATTTCAGAAAGGGTTTTGATTTGGTGGACCATAACTCTATCATGAACGAATTAGAAAACCTTAATGTCCACCCTGTCCTTATTCGCTGGATTGCAGCGTTTTTGACCAACCGTCAACAATGTGTTAAAATTGATAACTATCAGTCTTCGTGGAAAAGTACCAATGGAGGCTTACCCCAAGGAACATGTTTGGGCCCCCTTCTATTTGCTATATTGGTCAACCCATTATTGAAAGACTGGAATGGTCGTTTAAAATTTGTTGATGATACAACAACATTGGAAGTTATCCCAAGGTGCTCTCCAAGTATATCGCCTCTAGTTGTTGATGAAATCTCTTTATTTTCATCGGCTCGTGGGATGGAGCTCAACCCCAAAAAATGCAAAGAAATGATTATAAATTTTCTCCAATACCGAATTCCATGTGACCAATCTATATTCATTAACGGACTATGCGTTGAGAGAGTTCGCAGCTTTAAGCTTTTGGGTGTCTACCTGTCAGATGATCTTACTTGGAATATCCACGTTGACCATATTTTGAAGAAAGCTAATTCCAGACTTTTTGCTCTCCGATTACTGAAGAAGGCTGGTTTGGATTCCACTGATCTCATAACCATTTATAGCTCAGTTATTCGGTCAATACTTGAGTATGCATGCCCAGTATGGGCAGCCCTTCCTGATTACTTATCCTTACACCTCGAGTCGATTCAAAAGCGAGCACTCAAGATTATATACCCTGACAAATCTTATTACGAAGCATTGCAGACCTCTAAGCTCGAAAGCCTGGAATATCGACGTGATCAATTGTGTCAAAGATTTATTAAATCAACCAGGAAGAAAGCATGTAAAAATAATCCAGTCTACAACATAATCAGACCTTCCCAGCTCCTTAATGAACATGATTATTTCCTACGTAGGCCAAATACTAGAGAAATTGTGAGAACTAATACTGAACGCTTCCACAACTTTATTACTATTAAATACACGTAATCGTCCTAGTTTACAGATTAGATCTTTATAGTTGTAAATATATAATATAATTTCTATCTTATATATTGTAAACCAGTATTATTGTTTGTATATACTTGTTATATTGTAAATAGTTATGTAACTATTATAACATAGGGACAATTGTGTAATTCAGTCTATACTGCAAAGCAATTGATTAATAAACAGATATTATTATTATTATTATTATTATTATGAACCGTTGTCTGACTGTTCAGTTATAGATACACGGTATGACGTCATATGTGATAAGAACAAAAAAAGTGGCCATGAGCCGCCGGGGCGAGTTCATTGTAATCTATTTGTTTTATATAATAAAACTGAAAAAATCCAAAATTAATTGAATTATTTGTTTGCAATTTAAAAACAAGAAAATTGCTGTGACGTCATTCCGTGCGTCTGTCCTCTTATAGATCATGGCTCTCGACCAATGAAATTGCTTGAATTCTTTACGTTATAATATAAATCCATCTAGACAATCTAGACAGGAATCGGCCGACTAAAATCGTCGTGTGTGCGCCTAGCTTTATGAAATAAACAAGATTGGATTTTTATGTCTACACAAAAAAGGATTATGCATCAAACAACGAATAGGTATGTACATAAATCTTATAGGTAGTTCAAAGGGCCCTGTCTACAATTTAACTGGCTTTAATAATATATTTGCATGTGTATCTACATATTAAAATAATATGCAAATATATGTCACATGCGTTGCCATTTGCCTTTGCATTCCGAGCCTATCGGCTTTATACTTATAAATACTTATGTGCTAAAGCTTCTAATTGCGAATTATCTGACAATATTCTTTAACTTTAACGTTGGACTATGTTTTATATATATTCACTCCCTGAATGATTTCTATATTAAGCGATGGAATTTTGATACGGCATGTCACAACACAATCTCATAATTTATAATTGTACATGTACAATACAAACAAATGGTAGCATACAGGTGAAAATATTTGAAAGTTTCTCATTTGGCTTAGGGTTGTACAAATACTCTCGTTAAATATGATTCAGCTACAACTTTGAACAAAAAAAACAGGGCTACACAATAGCCCTGAAAATCGTAATGAGCGTGATAACTCTGGATAACTCTAACATTGACCTTATCATGATGCTAATAAGCTTAACATTTGCCTTATCATTTGATAATTTTGAGCAAAGCTCTCTTTATTATTGTATAAATGTGTACCAAATGGCACTGAATAGTCACAATGCATATCGATGACTTATATTTATGATGATTCCTCTGATGTAAAGCCATAATATTTAAAAAATATAGCATCTTAACATTGACCTTATCATTATGCTAATTAGCTTAACATTCACCTTATCATTTGATAATTTTGAACAAAATTCCCATTATTTTTGTGTAAATGTGTACTAAATGTCACCATATAGTCACCAAACATATCGATGAATTATATTTATGATGAATCTTCTGATGCAAAAGCCATAATATTTAAAAAATATAACATCTTAACATTGACCTTATCATTATGCTAATTAGCTTAACATTCACCTTATCATTTGATAATTTTGAGCAAAACTCTCTTTATTATTGTACAAATGTGTACCAAATGGCACTAAATAGTCACAATGCATATTGATGACTTATATTGATAATGATTTCTCTGATGTAAAGCCAAAGTATAGAAAAAATTTAGCATTTTAACATTGACCTTATCATTATATTTTGTTGTTGACGGGGACGGGGGCGGGGACGGGGGCGGGGGCGGGGGCCGGGACGGGGACGGGGACGGGGACGGGGACGGGGACGGGACGGGGACGGGGACGGGGACGGGGACGGGGACGGGGACGGGACGGGGACGGGGACGGGGACGGGGACGGGGACGGGGACGGGGACGGGGACGGGACGGGGACGGGGACGGGACGGGGACGGGGACGGGGACGGGGACGGGGACGGGGACGGGGACGGGGACGGGGACGGGGACGGGACGGGGACGGGGACGGGGACGGGGACGGGGACGGGGACGGGGACGGGGACGGGGACGGGGACGGGGACGGGGACGGGGACGGGGACGGGGACGGGGACGGGACGGGGACGGGGACGGGGACGGGGACGGGGACGGGGACGGGGACGGGGACGGGGACGGGGACGGGGACGGGGACGGGGACGGGGACGGGGACGGGGACGGGGACGGGGACGGGGACGGGGACGGGGACGGGACGGGGACGGGGACGGGGACGGGGACGGGGACGGGGACGGGGACGGGGACGGGACGGGGACGGGGACGGGGACGGGGACGGGGACGGGGACGGGGACGGGGACGGGGACGGGGACGGGGACGGGGACGGGGACGCCAAGACTATAGCAATAGCTCTCTTGCACTAAAGTGCAGGCGAGCTAAAAAACAGTATAGGTGTAGCAGATTACATACAAGAAAACAAAATATTTTTTTGAATTATTATTTCGGATTCAGGAAATAGATTTTGTCGTTGAAGGTAGATTTTTTAAGCGCCAGTGAAAAATAGAAATTAAGTATTCCTCTCGATACTTTGATTTAGATATTGATAAAAAGCAAGATTCGAGTGAAAATAGGCACACAGACAAAGAGGAAAAACTGCACTTTTGGGAGGAAATAAGAAAACAAGTTGAATATGGTGAAAACAAAGAAGACCGTTGGAAGAGGGCAATTCTTTGGCGTGCTTTTCAGTTTAGTCCAGTAGATGCAGAAATGATCGTATATTTGGTTCACCATGGGGCAGACGTTCGTTCGAAAAACGCAGACGGTGAAACAGTTTTATTGGTCGCGACAAAACATGGTTTACTTGATCTTGTTAAGTGCTTCGTTGAACATGCTACCGAATGGAGTTTTCAAGAAGTTTGCGTAGCTCTTCACAGCGCAATAGAGTCTCGTTCTTTAGAAATTGTGAAATATTTCGTTGACGATTGTGGAGCTGATATATATTGTAAAGATGAGTCAGGCAAAACCCCTTTACATCATGCTGTTGCTATTGGTGCGATGGATATTATCAAATATTTGGTTGAACAATGTGGCGCTGATGTAAATGCCAAGGATGCTAATGGAAAGACAGTTCTAGATATTGCTGTTACCAATAAACTGCTAAATATTGTTAAATATTTGGTTGAAAAAGGCGTTGATGTAAATGCAAAGCGCCCGGATAGGTGGCCAGCTGTCTCCGCTGCAATTGCTTCTGGTAAGTTAGACATTGTGAGGTATCTGTTTGAGCGGGGCGCTGATGAAAATGGCAGGCATCCGAATGCTTGGACAGCTCTTTACACTGCTATTCATGCTGGTAAATTGGACATCGTGAGATATCTAGTTGAGAAGTGCGCTGATGTGAATGGCAAGAATCCTGACATGTGGACAGCTCTTTACACTGCTATTGACGTTGGTAAATTAGATATTGTAAGATATCTAGTTGAGGAGAGTGCTGATGTAAATGGTAAACTTACTAAAAGGTGGGAAGCTCTTTCTGCTGCAATCTCATCTGGTAAATTAGACATTGTGAGATATCTTTTTGAGCGGGAAGTTGATGAAAATGGAAAGCATCAGGACGCATGGACAGCTCTTTACACTGCTATCAAAATTGGTGGATTGGACATTGTGAGATATTTAGTTGAGCAGGGCGCTGATGTGAATCCTGACACGTGGAAATCTCTTTCCGCCGCAATTTCTTTTGGCAAATTAGACATTGTGAAATATCTATTCGAGCGGGAGATTGACGAAAATGGCAAGCATCCTGATGCGTGGACAGCTCTTTGCACAGCTATCGATGTGGGTAAATTAGACATTGTAAGATATTTAGTCGAGAAAGGCGCTGATTTAATGAGTAATGACCTTGCCGGTTCGACAGCTCTTTTCACTGCCGTTGTTGGCGGTGATATGGACATTATAAGACACTTAGTCGAGACGGGCGCTGATGTGAATATCAAAGGAACTGATGGACGAACAGTCTTGCACGCTGCTGTCAATGCTGGTGCACTAGAAATTGTAAACTATTTATTTGAACAGGGTGCTGATATAACTCTGAAAAGTGAAGTTGACGGCCATAGTCTTGGCATTCACATCTTGAAGATGGCTGTGGTAAAGAATTCGGTTATTTTGGTCAATCGTCTTTTAGACAAGAACATAGATGTATGGAGAGCTGGGACATTTCTCGTTGAAGGAAGGCAAATGAGTCTTCGTCAATGGAGTATTCATCTTGGTCATGATGAAATTGCAACTATCCTAAAAAGGTCCATAAAACATCGTAAGAAAATTCAGATGTTGAAAACAATTAATCTTAGCCAGTTAAAGGTAATATTTAGTAAATAATAGTTCATACATTAAGGACATTTTTGATAGGTTTCCATAGTAATTAAATTAAATACGAATCATTGAAACCACGCGGAGCGTAGGCCGGAGCTATATAATAGAGAGCTTTAGATTTGACTACGTATACGGCTCCCGCTACGGCTGCGAGATTTGTCACTGTGGCGCGAAACAAACGTTGTATGCATACGCCACCTGTCAAATATTTCGGAAATTTTACGCCTACTATTTCGAAAAATATACATAATCAAAGGCCACGGTCGGGAAAACAGTTCTCTCAAATTATTTTCTGCAAAAAACGAGAAAATGCCAACTTTTATTGCTTTTTAAATCACGTAGTGAGGACTACGCCGAAGTTTTCTTAAAATGCCGTAGTCAGATGAACGACGACTACGAGTTGTTGGCGTCAGTACGAAGTATCACCAATATTACGTCAATGTGACGAATCTCGTAGCGGTAGCGGGAGCCGTTATCAAACCTTAAGCTCTCTAATCCCCAAGCCGGTGCGGAGCACCGTGCGAGGGTACTAATTCCGCTCGGATATTTACACTCACGATGTGCAAGTTCGAAATCAAAGTCGTCCGCCATTATGCAATGGACCTCACGCCATGGACAGTCTTCTACGTTACGCGCATGCGCCAGTGTGAACTACTAAGCTTTTGATTGGTCGAGACAAAAATTTGTATTTTCAAACGTCAATGAATAACTGTCATTTAGCAAAATTTTGATGAAATTTACAAATTTATATTTTCATAAATATGGAATATACGTATTTTTACTAAATTAGAGGGAAACTCGATTGAGCTCAGGACTTTTCACGGTTTAACAAATAACAAAACCAAATTCTCGACCGAATTCACCGTGTATAATCATAGGCATCCCAGGAATACAATTTGTATTTTTATATTCAATTCAAAACTCTCGCAAGCGAACGCGAGTCGCATTGCTATGGTATAATGAAGTCGGAAGATTTTACACTTGATAATATTTCATCCGACACAGCAACTTTAATATTCTCAAATGTATTTCCCCATAAATCTGAATGTGTTATGTGATAAACGACATTATAATTTCATTTATAAACTCCGTTTTCATAATGACAAAAAGAGAAGAAAATCAAAACATTCCCGTGAAAAACCAGTCGAAGCGTAACATAAAACTTCGGAAGTTGTATGAGACGTCTGATGTTATATTTCATAGACATAGGTATTTAATAATTAAAATAATTTACCATGACACTGACTATAGATGAGTAACTTAACTTCCATAAAAAGGTAAAAATCTTGTCGTATTTTTGTCATTTTTTCACAAAAATATGAGGGTAAACTTTGATTCTTTAAAAATATACGAACTTAACTAAACTTTGATTCTTTAAAAATATACGGCCGTTGCGACTTGCGAGTTGCTATGACTACAGTGTTTCCACGCGCAGAAAAATATTTCCATACTTTTCCCATTTTCTATTTCTCACATAAATTTTCTAACAATCATGTTACCATCCCTACGCTTAACTAATTTCGTTTAACCAAGGCGAGGGGCGGCCCTGTTTATTTCCTTAGCTTTAAGAATGTGTGATCTAACTTCACCAAAAATTTACTTAGGTTATGTATGAGTAGCAGTATAGAGTACATGCGTGTATATTAATATATCGTAAAAATATTCATGGTTTTTCGTCAATAGGCTGAAATACCGATGCAGGCTTTTATCGCAAACACACAATTCAAGATTGGCGATGGTGGATTCTCGTGTGTCTATGTTGGTATCCTGAAGGATGGAAGTGAAGTTGCTGTTAAGAGAATTTTAGTTCAAAGTGAGGATAAAACAGCCGAAAACGAGAAGGAAATTATGAGTCTTTTTAAAACGAACGACTCTTCATTTACTGTAAGCTATCGGCACTTATCACCGTGATGATACCTTCATGTATCTCATTATTGATCTTTGCGAAGAAACTTTGAGAGAACTTGTTCATGAATGCAGTATTGAACATCTACAAGAGCATGGTCCACAAATGATCCGCGAAATTCTATCAGGACTAGAATTTCTTCATAGTAAAGGAATATTGCACAGAGATCTAAAACCATCAAACGTCCTGGTTGATGTCGAAGGTCGCATGAAATTGGCCGACTTTGGAATAAGCCGCGTTCTAAAGGACGGTAAATCCACACTTAAAACGTATGCCAAAGGAACTCCGGGCTGGATGCCGCCGGAAGTAATTGAAGCCATAGATAGAAACGAAGAAGGTGCTTTCAAAAGAAAATCTGACGTCTTTGTTGTGGGTATGATTGCTTTTTTCATCTTAACCAAAGGTGAACACCCTTTCGGTTCTTCGTTAGATCGAATGGGAAATATTATGAAAGGAGACGTTGTAAATGCCAAGAAACTTACTGATCCTAATGCTCGAAAGTTTGTGTCGTGGTTGATCAATCACAGGATTGATGATAGACCTTATGCACACGACGCGCTGAGGGATCCTTTCGCTAACAGAGACTGATAAAAATCGAAGAAGTGCATGATGAAAATAGTACAAACAAGCCAACAATGAAATAATTTGTTTATCAAATGTGTATAGAGATCAATTGAAAATGACACGTTTTTAATATACAAAAACACACAGCGAGCAACAAAAATCGAAATTTTGTGCATCAAGACATAAAAATATCTATCACCGTTCAGTTTCTTTGAAATTTCGTTCAATAGAGGTTGTATATTCTTCTCGAATGATTTGAAATGTGCCGAATGCAAAAATTTCTTGAATTTGAGACATGTGTTTTGAATCTCAATCCTATATTTCGTAGTCATCTTGAAAAAATGTAAACAGATTGCCGCGCCAAAATGACATACGACAATTTTTCACTTTTGAAGCCGTGTATGGCATCTTTCAAGCGTGAAAAAATAGTAGGCCTAATTAAATTGCATGAAGTTTAATTTAACCAGTGAAATACGATTTTTTTTTCATTATTCTAGTGTGCATAAATCTCTATACACATAGAATAAGCTATTTTATAACCCCAAAATAACAGCAGTATCCTTTCGTTGTTGAAGAAAAAATTGAGTAATTGATCGTATTCACTACTTCACATTTTGGTGCTTTTGCAATATCCATTTAGAGAATATTAATACGTTAATTTTCATAATTATGTTCATGTCGATAGTTTATTTAATATAGGCACCCTCCTAAAAAAATAAGCTTTGAGGCGGTCATGTTTATGTCCTTTAAGAATACAGTACTGTTCAGAAATAACCCAACACTTCGGTTGCGCTTCGGTTGCCGTCGACCGATAAAAATCGCAGAGGACTGCAAGGGGAAAAATACGATCGCGGTTGCCTTTTTCTTCCGAATGGAACGTTAAGAACTGCTAAGAACGACGACACAGTAATCATATCGAAAACATCTTAAGCCCAGTTTGTATAAGATCGTTATCTGTCGCTACCTGTCTTTTGGAGTCTTTAGAGTAATCTTGAAAAACCGATAACAACACAGAAAAACCGAAAACGACAATGTCGTTGGGATAGGACAAACCCTGTCTCAAAGACATATAACGACAAGAAACGACGAAATTCTGGCCAAAACGGTCCGGTGACATACGGAAAAAATTGAAATTCATACCAAATAAGTAAGGAATATCATAATATATTGAAGTATTATAAAAGAATATGAAGTATTCTCTATCATGCCGACGAAGTTTAAGGACTAGTTTATGGTACGCGCAAAGCTCTTCTCGCTTCCTAAATATTTCTCTGGCCCAGAAGCGGGGGTTTTCTTTGTTGTCGAGTCGTTGACTTTCGGAAAACGTTTTGATTTTTCTATATTGTTAAAGCCTATCTACACGATACGATTTGTCGTATACTATTGCTACTATTGTATGACGCATTTTTGTTCATGCGCTGATAACGAATTTTAAAATCTAACGTTTGTGCGCGTGTTTATTCAATCATATACGTCATGGTAAGAATCGTAAACGACTAATCGTATCGTGTAGATAGGCCTTTATAGGTCTTTCAAGATTATACTCCAAAGACACGGAAAGACAGGTAGCGACAAATTCGAGGTTCAACCTTGGTTTTACCTCGGTTTTACCTCGGTTTTACCTCGGTTCAACCACGGTCAGAGCTCGGTTTGACCTAGGTTAACTGCGGTTTATGTTAGGTTACTTCTGTATAGCACTGCATATGTAGATCAAATTAACTTCATGAAAAGCTAACTTGTACCACGTGCATGCAAGCACTATATCATTATTATTCACTTTGATTCGAACAACATGATTTCCACTGCATAGATATAGTTGAGGAATAGGTGCATAGCTGCATAGCCATAGATCTTATATTGGTCTCATTTGATCACAATAAATGTAAAATTGGATATTCTTCCTAATCAGATGATTTCTTTTCATTATTATTTACTGAAAGTGTTATATTATCTGATGGTGCCTATGCATCAGTCCAGTGGCGTAGCCAGCACGATAATTGGATACGCAGGATATCCTGTGTTTGGATACGCAGGAGTAATTTATTTTCAAATCAATTGTTTTTACAGTCTGTTAAGATGAATATATTATGAACATCCCCCCCCCCAATCGCTCTCCACGGAGACCCCTGATGAGCAAATAATATGCATGTATATTTTACAGCTTAACACGGTCTCCTACATTAACGCCTGTATTCTAAAAGCTCACTCACACTCAAACTCATTGAGTGGGAGATTCTAATCTTCTCATAACGTTTCCATGGCGGTATTTCCAGCCGAAAAGGGGCTTAATTTTCAGTGATTCACCTTATATCTTTCCATCTATTGAAAGAAAACTTTCTCGTTGACCAGCATTAACAAAATTTATATGCCACACTCGATGAGTGTGAGTGTGTAAACAGGCGTAGGTTGAACTTTTTGAATACAGGCGTTAGTCTTCTACTGCTTTATCAAGGAACCCTGTTTCATTAATGAGCTAATTTCTAAATTTTGATGAGTATTTCTCAACCCTAAGATGTTTACACTGGCTTTTGCTAATTTTATTTTTCGTTGACGTATGCCCGTAATAATTTACCTGTAAAATTGCCTCTTGAAAGAAACAATTTCGGCGCATGTTTTATAATCTATGGGACACGATTTTCTTTGATTATCAAAAAAGCTTCAAACTGGTGACATAATTTCCCTTCAAATTATAAATGTAGATATCTCAAAAGATGATAGATGGCTCCTTACAATTTCAAAAATATTGAAAACTCGTGACTTAGATATAAAATTTTGGCAGCAGATTTCTTCCTGAAGGAAAAGAATTTTCCCCAATACACTAGGTAACATTCTAGGCAACATTCTAACAGTCATAAAATTGTCGATAAATATGACTATTCACCCACTTTGCTCGAAAACGAGTCTGCTACGCCAATATTTAAATTTTTAAAAACCTTAACAAGTAAAGCGAAAATTAGAATAAGTCTAAAAAAATTCGTCAAAAAGTATTATCAATATTTTAAATGTCACAAAAATCACTTTTTTATTTTTAAAAAATCTCGCCAGGACAGAATTTTTCTAAACTTGTTTAAATTTTAAATTTTTGCAAGAAAACGTTTTAAAAAACGTTTCTCAACGATTAGTTAATATTTAAGATGATTCCAAACGCTCTCAAATAATATTAAGACACAATACGATTCAATTATAAAATTTACGAGGGGGTTAGAATCCGTGAGAAAAATATAACCCAAATCGGCGGAATTGGACCCCTGTAGGTTTATATCCGCTAGCGGATCCTCCGGTTCAAATATGGGTATGGACCAGGGTCTATTTTCAGCCGGGTCCAAATCCGCTTTGACAACTACTGTAAACCGGGCCGTAGCCAAAAGCGTAATTAAGGTTGCCGGTTTATATTCATATATTCATCTATTGTTCCTTTGATCTTTAAAAATGATTATATGATGCAAGATACAAGATAAAAAAATTCGACAGAATAAAACTTCGTTTGGACTGCCAGTTAGCGTTCTCGACGTTCTATCATATGCATATCCAATTGAAGAGGATACTTTTGACCTGCAATAGAAGAAGCAGTGTGTGTTCAAGTAAGATAACCAACTGGTGGCATTTTACCAAAATAAAGAAATTTGTTCAATTGGACTGCTCTCAATTCAAAAGAAAATATGCAAATATTTCGCTGGCTAACATTTCTCTGCAGGAGGAAATCCAGCAAAAGCCAACATACCGTGCCAGAATATTAGGCCAGGGTTTCCACAACTTATTCGCATATGGCTCATAGAGGGAAGCAACATTGGGAAAAAACCGGAACAAAAAACTTTTGAAAAGAATGCATCATATATCATATCAACACAGATCCCTCTCACGCTTGTGTTGTCAATCGCAAGGAAATTTCATTGCATTGTGGAAACCATATTGCAGCTAATTGCCTATAATTGCAAGATAATATTCAAAGAATTCTGGTCTTTATAGTTAAATAATGTTGCGAACTAGACTTCAGAATAAATAAGGTTTTTTCTTCGTTTTAAGAGAGCATCACAGCAGCACGCTAATGACGAATATATGCCACTGACGACAGCGGGGACAGTCAGCGATGAAGGTAGGTTTGCTGGAATGTAGATCACAGAGCTCTTTGTTTAACATATTGTCAATGTTGTAGGGTATAAACCATTGAAGCTAGGAATAACCTTGGGATAAATAACCTTGTGTTATATCAGAGTAATTTGTTTCACTGCGACAGTGCTTAGAATCGATAAGAAATTTTGTGAAATGCAGCGCATTTGCGCAAGGATTGTGGCCTAATGGTCCAATTACTTAAATTGCAACACAGACTTTATCGATTGCTACGTTAGACGAATTTTACTCATGAGTGACTTGGGCTATGTTCACGCTAAACTTAGAGACCACGATCTATCTCGCCAAGAATCAATCGGCAATAGTTATCCTCAGTTAGGGGCTCTAAATTTAGGGTTTCATATTCGCAAATTCGTAGCCGTGTGACTGCCGGATTTCATTCGACGAAAGCGAATGTTGATACGGTGATTAGAAATGCTTCAATATACAACCCCAATTAAGCCTGGTTTCCATTTAATCGTTAATGTGTCGTGAACAAGTAATTTTAACCGATGACAAATAGTTCAGTTATAAATTTATCTTTTATTATTTCTGAATTCAAATCGGTCATTGTCGCATGACTGCACAGACATAGACATATTCTATCACATCAGCCACCATGACATGTTCAGAACACTTAGATGGCAATCAGCCATCAAATCATTGCGTATAGTTTCAGCCCTTCGGTGATGTAGTAAAGTACTCCCAAGGACAATTCAAGAATCGATGTTGTCTCGTCACCTTTAGAATATTGTAGGGCATAATTTTTTTAAAGGCAGTATATGGGTCAATCTCTTCGCTAAGCTCGCTCGTGGGAAATTGTTCACGAGAACATAAAACCTATGTCTTCAAGGGAACCGTGTGGTGCATGTTCCGTTTATTATATCGACTAAATTCAGAGTAACAAAAGTACACAG